CTTTGAAAAATATATATCATGCAAAGAGTTGCACAGTAGCCAGGCCTCTATATATGCAGTTGAGGATGTTTCTACTAGGCTCACCAAGTAGTGGGTTGTCGAATTTCCTCTAATGTTCCTTAACTGGTGTTTTTTAAGATGGAGGGTGAGATCTCAGACCAGATACCTTCAGTCAATCTTGAAAATATGTTTGTGCATATCTTTTTTTTTATTTACTTGGATTGAAGTGCAAATCAGGCAGGTATTGCATTTGTTTTGTTAAGTACCAAAACTTGATTTGAACAATCATTTGATGTTTAACCCTATACTTAGCCGTCCATACCATCAGTGCCGTATCCAGTAGTTGATACAGGAGAAGCGTAGTATCCTCCTAAGACAGGGATTCAGTAAATGTATCTGAGCATCCTTTTTCTTGTACCCCAATAGCGAGTTCCACTGGGGTTTTCCTGGCCCTTCAAGAAGCTAACTAGCATCACCCGATGCTGGACACGATACCGCCTCATCACCAACATCAACTCCGTCATTGCAGGTGATGTCTTTCAAGCAAAGATCATCTGTTTCAGAGCCCATGTGTGGCTGGATAGTGTGAGGATGATTGAATGCTGTAATGGGGAGAAATTCTACCATTAATTTTACATATTTGCTTCTTAGACATCTAATTCATATTAAAAGTAAAAAGACCGCCAAAAACAAGGGGAGATGGTGAATTAGAATTTAATAATATAACAGAAATATAACAGATATATTGACAAAATTAACGCTTTAATTGTTTTCTGAAATTGAAGATGGGTGTGAAAGATTTCGCATGTTTTCCACATGCTACAGACGGCAACGTATCTTGAAATTTAGATCGAAGAGATGTACAAAAATCAAAGGGAACTTGTATGCAAATTAAAACAATTGTATACATCTTCTGTATTGCAATACTTTCTGTCAAACTTAAAGTAGATATTCATTGATTTTAAAAACTAACTTAATTTCATTATTGCAAAGTTGAAACTTTGATTCGACAAGGTTATTAAAATTCAATGCTTGGAAACATTGGAAGTAATGATTATTATAAATTATAAAATGCTTAAATACTGCCCCGGCATAGCACCTGAAGAGCTCTCCGAAGGCTGCTGAGATGTGTGAGTTCACAGTATGGACAAGATTTGCACAAGCAGACGATGTTCCATGACATCTTACACATTTTTAGTGCCTGTGTTTTCATCTTATTTTGAGTTCTTTATCTTACTTCAACCATCAGGCTAAATGCATAATCTATTGCAGAAACCCCGCGCATGGTTTTATTTTGATGACAAATGCAGCGATACAAAAATAAAGGAATCTGTCGCTTGTAAAGAAAATAAGACGCCATTGAATATATTCAGCTGCAAACACCGCGGTATGTCCGGCGTTTCAAGAGGGAACAAATAAACATAATATCATTCCGGGATTTTTTTCAATTTGAAACTCTGGTTTCTTTGATTGTTAATTAACCCCTATACTGTGTATTTACAAGCAAAATATTTTAGTTATCGGAATCGGGTCATATCCCCTTTTGAATGGTTTGACATGCCATTACATTTATATACACTAAACTCATTATAATGACAAATAATAGCTTCGCAATTAATTTCATTCTTTATGGGATGTCGTCTGCTTGGGCAGTAGTGGTCCATATAGTGACGTCATTAAAACATCGTTATTTTTTCCGGCGAATCTCTTGTATATCCCAGCTGCTGTGGAGGTGGTTGTATTTGTATTTGTATAAATCACCCGATAAGTAGTTGACTTAAAACTTGTACGATGGCCATATGTTAGCTTACCAGTTTCTAGTGATACATTAGTTGACATATTTGTGATTTTCTTTGAATTTCACCTTTAAGAAAATTGAAGTTCAGGGCAGAAAGACAATAGATGCGGATTGTTGTGTGCGTGATCGTTCACATGGGTGCATTTGTGTGTGTTTGTGAATGTAAAGGATTGATGCACGACTGCAGATGCAAGCTCCAAGATCAACTGATGGTTCAAATCAATAATTTAGAGTTAACAGAGCTACTGCATTGGTACCTGATATCCATTTCTCTCCAATTCAAGACTGAACGTTTTTGAGCAAACCAATTTTCGAGAGTTTTTCGTAATTAGCCAGTGCTCACCCAATCATAAAATAATGTTAATAGTTTAAGTGCCACCCGATTATATATGATCTCACCCATAACTTCATTATAAAAATATCATGCAGATATCGTGAAATTACGATTTTGGGGTTTATTTTCAAAGTAAGTACTTTTTTTGCATACGCACCGAAGTTTTTGATTCGATGTTGTTGTCATAGTGAGTGAATGATAGAGAAAGATAAGGTCTTATACATTATCGCATTAAACATGTTAACTACTTCTTAACTTCTTAACACGGAGTATAAGACTGTGTTAATTGCTAGATCAACACAGTTGATAATGACTGTTGAATATCCTTTTTTGTACTGGTTTTTCTTATTAGCTGACAAATACATCGAAAGTTTCTTTTGGCAAATCCCATTTCCGGATTCGAATCCAGAGGATTGCATTGAATTGTCATACCAGTCTGGCTCGGCGAAATATTCTTGGAATCCTAGATCGCTCCACGAAAATAATGCCTTACTCTGTCAGTATGGTAAGTATCTCGATGTTGTTCATGGTCATGAGTTTATTTGAATCTAGCTTTGAAAACTTGTCAAATATACAAGCAAGTGATGGACTGACTATTTTATCATTATCTTTTTCATTTGTTTATATACAGTAATCATTCTCTATTGCTGGAATAGTTAGTTTACCCGGCATGACCGATTGATATGTCATTACTCCAGTACTAACTACACGACTTATACAGAGTGAGACTATCTTCTACTTTTCAACGGTACGCCCTCGTCACCAAATAATAACCTACCTTGACCTAAGCCTTCCGCACCATCTGGGAGATGTGTGATGGCTTCTGCTTCATGACGTCAAGCCAGATCTTCCTGTCTTGTGATGTTCTGGTCGCTTCTGTGAGGGATCCCAGACATCTAGTAGCACAATCGGCCTTTACACAATCTATCCATTTCTTGGCTGGTCTGCCCCGGGTCTATCACCATGGATATCAGAAGTTAGGAGTATCTTTGGGTATCGTGATGGTCTCATCCTGTTAACGTGGCCAAAGAATCGTAGCCGTTTTTTGGCTATTTTGTCCAGAATGGTTTCATCCAGTCCTAGAGTCTTCCGAATTGTTGTATTCCTTATTCTGTCTAGTCTGGTTACCCCCAAGATTTTTCGGAGGCAGATCATTTCGAAGGTAAGGAGCCTGTTCTCGTCTTCTTTTTTCAGTGTCCATGTTTCTGATCCATACATAAGGATGGATAGGATGAGTACCTTATATTGTTGAAGTTTTGTAACATCTCTAATGTCTTTGGCTGTCAATATGCTGTGAAGACTTTGAACAGCACCCAGGGCTTTTCCAATTCTGTTCTTTATGTCCTCTGTGCATTTTCCTGATTGAGTGATGGTACCTCCCAGGTAAACAAACTTTTCCACCTGTAGTAGTTTGGTTCCACCTATGCTGATGTTAATGTCTTGCTGCTGTTTACTGATGACCTGGACCTCTGTCTTGGCAATATTAATTTTGAGGCCAAAGTTTGAGCTCCACTGTTGTACACAATCTACAATGGACTGGAGATCTATTTCGTTGCATGCAAGAAGAACTATGTCGTCTGCGAAGCGGAGGTTGTTGATCAGATGGCCTTGGATGTTTATTCCAATAGGGGTGTCATAGGTGGCATGTAACATAACCATTTCTAGGATGATGTTGAATAGCTGTGGTGATAAAACACAGCCCTGGCGTACACCCACAGTTGTTGGGAACCAGTCTGTAAGTTCGCCATTTACCCTGACTGCACTAGCTGAGATTTTGTATAGTGCTTTTAGGAGACAGATTGTCTTATTGGAGTAGCCAAAGAATCTCATAGCTTTCCAAAGTCCTTCCTGCCATATTGAATCGAATGCCTTCTCGAAGTCTATATAACAGCAAAACAGACTTCTGTTCTTTTCAAGGTGCTTTTCTGCAATTTGTCTTAGAGTAAACAGTTGGTCTATGGTTGATCTCCCTGGTCTGAAACCTGCCTGGGACTCTGATAAAATTTCCTCTGTCTTCTTCAGGATTCTTCGTTGAAGGATTGATGCAAATATCTTTCCTGCATGGCTAAGTAAGCCAAATAATACCTACCGAGAATAAGGAGTTGTTCTTTTTTCTTAGTGGTTAAATGACATTAACGTACATGCATAACTATATATATATATATATGTGTGTATGAGTGTGTGTGTGTGTGTGTGTGTGTGTGTGTGCGTTTGTGTTTGTGGGAGGGAGAGGCGCAGGGTGGGGCAGCCATTGCACCAGTGAAAAAACCTCCTGAATTGTTTAGGTTTTTCAAAAAAAGAACAACGTGCAATTGACTTATACATTTTGTTTATATACTTTAAGTTTAGTTTGTTGCCAAGTTATATACTGCGAATGAGTTTTTCTTTAATTATGTTTATTTTTAGGCAATTCATATCAATACGGAAAACGTTTATTTATTATATTCAATTGTATTTTTTGGCTTGTATTAGACATTTAGAGAAGGGAAAAAAGGTGTGTGTGTGTGTGTATGTGTATTTTGTTGTCTTATTATTACATATTCTTTCTGATGATTGTTAAATGATTTATTAAAGGTCTATGTGATCTTTACAAACATATATACACACACACATATATATATATATACATATATATATATATATATATATATATATATATGTATTCAGTGCGTTAAAAAAGCCATAACCATAACCATTTAGTTGTTTTCTGTCCAATTGTATTCGTGTACGGAGGATCATTACTTCTTGCTTGTGTGTGTATTTTCTCGAATTTCAAGCATAATTCACTACTTTCTCATTTGTTCTCCCACACATGGCTATATCTTTCTAGATCAGTCTTGCCAGAGTGTTGGACTAAAACAATCTTCCATGGTACTTGAATACATGACCACGTGTTTCCAATTCCTAGACGCTCCCATGAGCTGTGCCAACGGGGCTAGAGAGTGTGAGAGAAGGGGAGGATTTCTGGCTGAAATAATTGATGAGAGTACTAACGCTTTATTGGTAGACCAAGCCCTATTTCTGAGGAATAATAAGTTTGTAGGAGAAGACACGGCCTGGTTAATTGGCGGGTATGATGATGATAACAACGAACGATCCTGGTATTGGTCTGATAGTAAGTCATATTATATTGTTGTCAAACTGTGATCAAATTAAGTTTAGGGATAAACATAAATGGCAATTTCTACCAATGTCTTGGTGATAATTGTGTGTTGTATTTCATCCATTATCCATGTGTACACCTATATGTCCCTACACCTACATTTCTAAATGGTAAACCTTCATGGGGGTTTTTATTCCGTCTACTTGTCTCTATACCCACCGTTTAACAAATAATAAGATGAAAATTAAATGATAAATTATAAAACTAAATCGACTTAAACTTCATATTCGTAACGGGGATCTGTATCATCAGTATCTGTGCAGATATGGTGGTACTGAAGAAGTATCGCCATAGAAAATGATAGTATTTAAATCATAATTTTGTAATAATGATGATGATGATGGTAATATATAACAGTTATAAATGTACTAAAACTCTTTTAAACCAAAATTACAAGTACGAGAACATATTATATCACAACAATCATGCCAATCTCAACGCAATGGTACTCTGCCCGATCAATTAAATAAAATATTGAATGAATTAAAACGATAATGAAAACCAGCATTAATGGCCAGAATGTGAATAATGTATACCTAAAGGATTTTTCTCATCATCAGGGATTAATAAATCAATGCGTAATTCATGTTGTTATATCAAATAAATTTAAATCTTTAGAAACTCGAATGATCTTTGAGGCATGGCAGGCGATTCAACCTAGCCAAAATGGACATGACTGCGTGGAAATGAGATTTGAAAATGGTTATCAATATGAGTGGAATGACCGGCCTTGCTCAGAAGGAAGACGGGCTTTATGTCAAATTGGTGAGTAAATGAGATAGGTCTGCAAAACAACTACTGCAATTTAGGATTGGTTTAATCAGTTTTCAACGGATATCATTCAATTTTAAATAAAGGGTCGTTTGTCAAATTGGCCAATCAAACTGAATATCTTACCACGATTTCGGTAGGACACGGCGTACCTTTGATTCGTTTGTCTCCTTCATAAAAATAATCAATTGCATCGCCCGTTCGGACCAAGATAATTAGCTGGTTCGTGTTCATACCTTCACTGTTTATGGATAATACTTTACTAATTTCAAAAGAGAATTAAGTCAGTTGAAACTTACTCTTTCAAATTGCACCACGTTGGATCCCAAACTGTCAGGGTTTTTTTTAGGAAAGTGAATGTCAATATCTCGGTCATTCTTTAAATTTGTTCAGAGCTAATATTTAGCTGCCTTTACCAATCATTGTTAAAAGCGATAGCAAAACTGAAAACTGAAACATGTTTAATGCTGCAATTTAAAATCTAAAACAGTATAATCATGATGTATCACTCAGCAAAAAATAGCTATTCACCTGCTCATCAAAAACGAGAATCTTTTTTTGAGACACTAATTATTAAGACTGGATCCAATTTAATTATGTTCCTATATTTAGTTGTAGGCTATTTATTGTTCCACATAATCTATCACTCAGAGTAGAAGCGTGCATTAAGAATAATCCATAATGTCTACAGGAATTCCTGCCTGCGGTGACCCAGGTGAACCTTTGCATGGGAATCGTTTACCAGACGATAGAACAACTTACTCTGTCAATGCTACTCTTCATTTCTCCTGTCAGGAGGGATATACATTATCTGGAGAAAGCGTTTTAAGGTGTATGAATAATGGAGCATGGAATCATCAAAGACCATCGTGTGAAGGTAAAGTGATTGTTTTCTAAATAAATAATAAATAATAAATGGATCTGATTTACACACATAATAGCGGCATCTAATGCATTGAAACTGCTCTTTCTCAAAACGAATGTAAGGTCCATTGTAACGTTTGCAGATGGTATTTCGTGTTACATAAACAAAATTGGTATATGCCCTCATGCTTTACGACCTGGGTAAAATGCTATTGTAGTGACACTATCAAACTTCAGTAACATACGGCTGATAGTATGTTAAATACTGTATTCATTAAGCAAGGTGCCGTCGTAACCTTCTACAATTTTACCATCAATAAAGTTGTTATTCATGAAGGATTACAATGAGGTATTCTCATTTAAGAACTAATATTAAAATAACAAAATCTAAATCTAAGTATTGTACTAACATTATGTTTGGATTTAAAAAAGAAACAATATCATCCCTTCATTTACATATTAATAATGACATGATAATTTATTTCCTGTTTTCCTGAATAGCTGTCGAATGTGTTAATTGGCCACAAGGGGTCGCCCTCGCATCCACCATGACACAGGGATCAGTTTATCAAGAAATAGCTGTATACACCTGTCAAGATGGTTATATTCCTGATAATGAACCAATCAGCTTCTGTCAGCATACAGGCACATGGAGTACACCTAACTTTACTTGTTCAGGCAAGATGTTATTTATTTATTTATCTATTTATTATATTTATTTATATAGGGTAGACTCTTCAGTATAATAAAAACTGAAAAACCCAGCCCATGTTACCGTATTCCCTTGTATGAATGGAAGTACTTGTTATGAAATGTATGGATCACCATTCACATGTACGTGTACCCCATTGATCTACCCTTCCACATTTAAGTTAATATATAGAATGTAGTAAGTTGGTACCTAGTAAGATGTATTCCTTTAATACACCGAGCCCTACGCTTACCGGATCTAAAGCCGGCTAACCCATTGTACTTCTCTCATTTTGTTCTCAAAATGAATTTTAAAAATTATATTTATTAGAGGACTTTCCTTGCTCAACGCAAGCACCGCAACTTACTTTTACATTTACTAAATTGCCATTACAAAAAATTGCAGGTTTATATTTTCTCATTAAATTTTCATTAACCGTTGGTTTAATTTCGTCACTCTGGCCTACCTGCTCTATGAAGACTTTTTTATGTTGAAACTCCAAGTTCACTCCAAAAATAATTTGATATCAAAAGATGCAGAAAAACAAGAGACACAGCAAAAAAGATTATACTAAATCCGATAACTAATAAGGAAGTTACAATTTTTTGAAAACGTATGAACAAGTTAAAGAACAATGGAAATCACTACACAAATCGACAAGTTGGTTATTAGTTTGTGACGTCATTGCCACACTATTTATTAATTGCTTTAAACATTTCATCCCATTAATTTCCCTTTTCAGCCCCAAATCTTGATCTTCCCATGCCTTGACCCGGTCATATAATTTGTATCACATTGCGTGCATGACATTTCACAACATATTTTATAATTTAAAGGATTGATACTATTTTGTTGATATTGTTTATTCATAATTTTTTATTTGAAAATAAATAGTTAATCAAAGTTCACATTTTTCATGATTTAACTGAAAGAAACACTCTATATTAGTGCACCGGTACAAAAACATATCACTATCAATATAACGTGGATGCTCGTGTGAGGAAATAAAATTATTAGGGAGAAAAGGAGAAATTCGTATTTTTAAAATAAAGAAAACAATTAGTGGTGGATAGTTAGCAATGACATGACTTATGAGTGAGTTGCCAATTTGTCTTGTGATTTTGGAGTTTTTCATGTCATCAACAATTCATAACTTTCTTTTAAGTTATCCGATTTTGCTCGAACATGTTTTGATTGGTTTGTTTGATTTTTCTGCTTCTATCGAAAAGAAGTTATTTTTGAGGAGGACATGCCCTTTAAACGTTGTTTTTCATTTTTTCAGAGATAGGGCTTACGACACCAATCAAGCAAGGCACAGAATCAAAAACAGGTTTGACATTATTATAGTATTAATGACTGCTTTGAGAGAAATAGTATAGTATTAATGACTGCTTTGAGAGAAATAGTTGTTTTTATACGCTCAAGGGAAGGTTAGAATTGTGCTATTGCCCGAGGCGTGCCGAGGGCAATAGCCCATTTGTAACCTTCCCGAGAGCGTATAAAAACAACTATTTCTCGAATATTAAAGTAGTCATTAATACTTTTATATGCCGAAAACAGAAGAGTCAACTCATGACACCACCTTGGCCTTTCTCTAGTTTATCTGCACGGTTTTTTTTTATGAGTGTATCTTTGAGAGTAGACTAGATCTAGATTCTACTAGTCTAAGCAAGATATTTTTTTTAAATTTTGGGGTTGGGCCGGCCCTGTGGGTAATATGGAGAAGAACCTGTGCTTTCATATGACACGTCACTTATTGGGTATCACTTTCAGGATCACAACATATAAAGGTTTGAATCTCGAATTGAAAAAAAAAAACTTGACTTTTTTTGAATGGTCGCGCAATGCACGTAGACTGCATAGAGACTGCATTGCGTGCAATCTCTATGGGAAGAATTTTAACACACAACATCAGTTGCGCGATCAGATCTATTTTCGTCTACGTCTATGCTTTTATAGCAACTAAACGAACATGGTTATGGATAATTTCACGTACCCTTTTTGTTGTTCTTGCTGTCAGCGAGTCTTGCATTTGATAAGTTGAAATCTTGGGAGAGTTTCTTTTAATAGCCATTTTTGTCTTGTTTGGAATTGTCTTGTCTTGTATGAAAATACCGACCAATTCTTCGCACACGTACGGTATCCTCGATCGCTCAAACTATTTCTAACATGTAAACCTATTGGTAACCATGGTTACTGGGATTTTAGAACTATTTTTTAAACCTATTACATGGGTTTGGAATTTTACCGGGAATTTTACAGGAATAGTTAAAGTTTATGAATGCAATTTTGACCAATCAGATGGCTGGATTGCTTAAGTGAGATATAAAAACAACTATTTCTCGAATGTTAAAGCAGTCATTCAATTTTTTTATATGCCGAAAAAAAAGAGTCAACTTATGACACCACCTTGGCCTTTATCTAGTTTATCTGCACGGTTGTTTTTTATGAGTGTATCTTTGAGAGTAGACTAAAAAATAAAAAATAAACCAGCGTACCAATGGTGATATGACTTAAATCACCGCCTTAGACCGCTCGGCCATCGCCACTGTTATCATACGTAACAGTTTTCTCTGATATATACATTAAAATGGATTGAAAACGGCTTCGCGTGCTGGATGCTCCATTAAACTGGCCCTTCTTTTACTTTTGCAATGCATATTGGCACGAACTTAGATCAAGATCTATCGACAGATGTTGTTTTTGGAAGTTTATTTTCGTCTTCATGTCAACAATGCAAGATAAAATCGTCGGTAAGATCGATCGAGATTCAATTGTATTGAAATTACCGACCAATTCTTCGAACACGTCCGGTATTGTCGATCGCTCAGACCATTTTTTAACATGTAAACCTATGGGTATTTCACCAAGACTGAACTATTTTCCCGGTAACCATGGTTACTGGGATTTTAGAACTGTTGTTTAGAACTATTACATGGGTTTGGAATTTTACCGGGAATTTTACAGGAATAGTTAAAGTTTATGAATGCAATTTCGACCAATCAGATGGCTGGATTTCTTAAGTGAGGTATATAAATCAAGATATTAATCTGTTCTAAACACGACCCCAAAGCCTTTCAAAATGGCATACTTCGAATCATTGAGTCATTGCATAGGGTCGGGTGGTCGCTTTATCCGATCTTTTAGGGAAACATTACAGCAAATCTTAAAGTGCATCTTTAGATTGATCTTCCGTTTAAAAAAAATAGTTATCATCGAATTTAGGAGTCAGAAACCATTCCGCCTACCCCTAACCCCACCTCACTACTACTTGTTAAACCAATCTTGCCAGTGGCGATTGAAATTCTATCATGATTTAATATAAAGTTGACGACAAAGACTTAGAGCAGCTCCCACCCCATTTCCCCTCAATGATATGGACAACCCACAACTGGTCACATATTCAAACAATTATTGCCAGTTTTAAATAGATGTTGCTGTTATACGAAATAATACCATGCTGGCACAACAGTTGTTTTTTTTGAAGAAAAAAAAAATCCTCAAAGGTTCTTGCCGTGAAAGTCGCTATACCAGCGTGTCTAGTTTACAAATTTAAGATTTCATGTCGCCAATTTTACTGGATTTTAATAGTTATTCATAATAAAAAAAAAACATGTTTTTTTTTTTAGTTCTCACTTTTGATTATGTTATTCCGAAGTCTTCTCCTTCATCTCTGGGTGCGTTTATCAATTTTTGCTACTCAGAAACAGCGTTTCCTTACAAACATATCGAAACACAGCATACGAACGTGATTTGGGGGGATGTAGCGTATATCAACTCGTCACGATTCGTAATGAAAGCCTTGTCTCTGCGAAGCTGCTTTGTGCCCCTTGACCCGGGAAGCAGTTGCTCGGAGGTAGTGTCCCTTTATAGAAGAGTTACGACATCTCAGAATTTGACGCCACCTTGTTTTCATTGTTTGTGCCGCGCTCTAGCGCACCACAGCTGTGCGTGTATAAACTGTGCGCGCGCTATACGATTAATTAAAGTTACACCGTGTCCGAAGTTTTTGATACAATCTCATCTTGGTCCAAGATGAAAATGTGATGATTTTGTTTATTATTCAATACTCAATGTTTGTTATGCAGAGAGCTAGAGGTGCGGAGAGAAGGAATGCAGGAGAAATGATGCAAACCACACTGAAGACGACAACTTTATGATACATTGTGGCCATTGGAAATAGAATGCAGATATTCACGCATATAATTATTTTTCTCCACATCTTTCTTAACATAATTAATTGCAATCTTAGTTGCTTCCTTCCATGTCTCTCTCAATTTCCCTCTTTTTGTCAATTTATGAACTAACCTTGCTCTCCTGTATAACTTTCTTGGCTCTCAGTCATGGGCGGCCGAGCGACTTTCAAAGTGGGGGAGGGGGCACCAACAAAAAAGGGCACTTTCTGGAAAAAAGGGCACCTACAGTGGGAAATCTCAAAGCGAAAATATACAATTTTTAGACATTGGTATATACCCCTACATTGTGATTACATTATCAGGGATGATTTCAATATTTGTTTCTCTTCATACATCATACAAGATATCGCTTAAGCATCAAACTTTACAGTTGGGTGTGATGTCTGAATATGCATTTACGAGCGAGCGAAGCGAGCGAGAAAATTTTTAAAGATCTGTGAGGTCGCAGTGCGAAAAATTACATCTTATAAAAAGGAAAAAAGCCAATCGTGATGGGGTTATAAGCACATTCTCATAAGGGAAGACTGAAAAGACCTTTGATAAGTAACATAATTATATAATCTTTAAATGCGAGCGAGCGCAGCGAGCGAACTTTGGGGGAAACTGCTCTTAGTCGCTTTAAATGAGGGGCACGTTTAATGATTACATGAAAAGGGGACAATTATCGAAAGGGATAAGACACTTATTAGAAAAGAAAAGGAAAGGAGCGCGTGTATAAGTACAAAGGATAATTATAAGAGGTGAAAATGAGGCATTTTTTCACTTGAAAAGAGGCACTCACCAGTGATGAAAAGGAGGCGTTTACGAAAATGGGAAATAGGCATTTGTTGACGGAAAAGGGGCACCCATCAGATTTTAATAGGGTCATTTATAAGAGGTGAAAAGGGGATAGGTCCCTTATTAAAAAGGAAAAGGGGAACGTATCATTATTAAAAGGGGAATTATCAGAGTTGCAAAGGGGCACTGACCAGATATGAAAAGGGGCACTTATGAAAATGTAAAAGGGGCACTTATAATAAAGGAAAATGTGCATTTGTTGAATGAAAAGGGGGCACCGTTCAGATGTTTAAAAGGGGCATTTATGAGAAGGGGAAGGGAAAGTTATGAGAAGGGGAAGGAGCTCTCTCTTTTTAATGGGGGCACTTATCATAAGGAAAAGGGGCACTTATTAGAAAGGGAAAGGGGAAGTTATGAGAAGGGGAAGGAGCTCTCTCTTTTTAATGAGGGCACTTATCATAAGGAAAAGGGGCACTTATTAGAAAATAAGAGGGGCACATGTTAAAATGAAAGGTGCGCTCATCCGAGTTTAAAAAAGGGATAGTTATTAAAAGGAGAAGGGGCACTTCTTACAAAGGAAAAAAAGGGGAAGTTGTCAAAGTAAAAAGAGCACCTCTCAGTTTTGGATAGGGCAATCATCAGAGGTGAAGGGGGCACTTATTAAAAGTGAAAAGGGGCACTTCTCGTACCTGAAAAGAGGCACTTACTAGAGATTAAAAAGGGCACTTATTCAAGATAATTTCAAGATTCATGAGAATGGAAAATGAACATTTATTGCAAAGGAAAATGGGAACATGT